CAATTTAAATTAAATGTTCCAAGTCCAATCAACAATATTTGTTTTTGTTTCTAAAATAAACATTGTTGTGATTAATAAATTGGCATAAATGATTGATGTATCAACTTTTTTTTTAAAAAAAAGGTCCAATAAGTACAAGGTTGTGTTAACTTGTTTGGGCTTGTCATTTATACGTAAAAGCCCCTCACTCTACTTTTGTAAATGATGAAATTAGTGAAAACATTTTTTAGGCGAGCTACATTGTTGATCACTGATGATGGTCGTCAATCAACTCATGGAGACAAACATTCAACTGCAAAATCCCTCAGTGATGCAGTCTGTGAGTGAACTGAAGAAGTCGATTGTCCCTGGATGGTATTTTTTTCCAAAGGTTGTTCTCCAGCAGTGGTGTGAGCAGCTTTAGAGCTCCTTCTTACCACAATATTTTATTGCACAAGCATTATATCCTGCCCGTAACGGTGCTGTCATGTTTGAACAGAGACATTATATCTCTGTACAGTGGACCACTGTTTAAAAGTTTGTTTTCCTGACACTATAGCTATAAAGGGTATGTTTGGCCACTCAGTGGTGGTGAGGGGGGTGGTGATAAAGTGATGTGAACACATTTATTTAGGTGTAACACCTAAACAATGTAACATACATGTTACACTTAAAATGTCTTGATCTTTAGACAAATATAGATTCTAGGCAATCCTTTGCATGTTAATAAGTGGAATTTTACCATGTTATCACACCAATGCTGACTGGCCAACTCCCTTTAAAGGTAGGGGCTGAGCCACGCCTACCCTCTTGAATGTCTCTGTGTTGTGTGTACTCAGGTTTTGGGCTATGTTGATTTGGAAGCTATCTTGCTGTGGACTGTCCATGCCAGGTTGACCACTGAGGGGTGATGGATCTGCAGCCTACTAAAGTTTGGTATGTACTTTAACATTACACATTGAAGTGAGGAATAATATCACTCCCTATCGAGCAACTGTGAAACTCCTATATATAATCTATTTTCTCAATCTTCCATAGTTTTGCCTGCATGGTCTTTCACATTCATTTAGAATTATTTTTATGATAATAAGTGAATGTGTAAATATGCAAGAAGAAGTGATCCTCCACACTGGTCTACCCCAAAACATGGGAACTGTGAACACAATAAGATATCACACTGTGAAACCTGATGAGTTAGTTCAACTCACTGTTAACTGTTTGAGGAAACAGTTTAGATATATTAACTCCAACAATTTAAGCTTGAAAGCATATTTGATTGGAGTACAAGTAACTCATTTATTTTGAAGGGAAAGCAAATTCAGTTAATTGTACTTCAAACTAGTAAGTACACTAATACACGGCATTTCTCCAATGTGTTAACAGAATTTATCTGAATAAAGTTGGACAAACTTAAATGCATCTTTTTTATACAAATGTTCCCACTTAAATTGAATTTACTCAGTTTTTGATTATCAAAATGGTAGCCAATTAATTTTGGGCCTTTGGGGCTTACATTTTCGAATAATATAGAGAAAAAGAAAAAGAAGAAGAAGAAGAAGAAGAAGAAGATATATATACTTTATTAATCCCCTATTGGAGAAATTGTTCTTTTCACTCTTTTTTATTTTATACACACACACACACACACACACAGGCTGAAATGCACACTTCATGCACTTGTGGACATACAAACAGGGAGAGAGAGATGGTGGAGTGATGGGCCTGCCACGTCAGGAGCCCATGAGACGTTTCTGGGTAGGTTCCTTGCTCAAGGGGCCCCTCAGCAGTGCACAGGAGGTGAAAACTGGTACCTTTCCAGCTAAAAAGTCACACTCCATATTGTGGTCTGTGGGAATTGAAACCGGCGACCCTCCGGTGGAGGAAACAAACTGTGGAACACACTGAATTATGTCACCAAAAAATTAAATATGCACTTAAGTGCAATCAAAACAACTGAGTTATTACTCTAACAATTCATTTTTGAGTTGGTTAATTCATGGGAATGAGTGACTCTTTGGTGACTTTTGGATGATAAAGTCTGTTAGCTTACTTCTTTTATTAAGATTTCCAGTTTTTTGGATTTCAGTGCATGAACATGAACATGTTAAACACCACTGAAACATCTTTAAATTGGCAAATTATTATTACCTGTTAAATAAGCTGTAAAAAGAATGCAAAGACCTTAAATGGAGGAAACCTATTGGCATTTTAAGACAAACATTGTTGAAAAACAAAAGTAATCATACCCTGATAAAGACAGAGTATTAGAAGAAGAAATATTACCCATTCATGGTAGCAATTGCAATGGCTTATTTGTAGCTGGTTTTAGGCCTCTTCCCTTGTGTTGTGTGGATGTTTGTTTCCCCTGTCAATTGTTTTATTTGTACTTTGAATTGCAACTGGTGTCTGTTTTGCAGCAATGCAATTTAGACAAGCCAAATGGATTCATAGACCCAGAAAAACATGGGGTTAGCACCAAGATTACTTTCTAGGTAAAATATGAAGGATTAGGATATTTAAGGCTTCCTCGGAAAAGAGATTTCAATATAGTTAAATAAAGCTTAAATAAAAAATAAAAAAGTATTTACATTGTGCAGACCTTAGAGACATAAAATGAGTAACCCCCTAGAAATGGCAGTATCTCAAAAACTACAAGGAGTGCTTGCACTGGATTCAGAACAGTTTCAGTTTCAATAATATGCTTTGATCCAGCAAAAAAAGGATATTCAACATGTCAAAAATAGGCTAGAGGGTAAGGCCCCAAAGTGCTTTAGTTTTTGAGATACCTCTACCGGAGGTAGAACAAAGCACAACAATGTTTTTTATATTCTCCAAGGTCTCCCATATAAGTAAAAAGTTTTTTTATAAACTTCAATTTAAAGGGTAAATAAATGTTTTTAATGTAACAAAAAATAATTTCACTGGCAAAATACACTTTTTAAGTATGTGTAAGTATTTAAGTATAACACAAACAAAACGTCTATTTTTTTCTTGCTTTTTCCATCTTTGTATGCAGCATTTCACTCATCTACATTATCCTCTGTGATAAAATGTGTCATGTTTGGGCACTTAGGAGAGGGGCATGAACAAAACTCAATGCATGTCAATCGTACCAAAAGTCGCTGTGATTTTCTGTGGTCAGTGCAGGTCCATCACCGCCGTATTAACACATTCTCACTGCCAACTCATAAAATACTGCACTCGAACCAGTGCCCCTATGATTTATAATATGACACTGTAGGTATCCCTATAGCCCCATTATCCAAGGTTAGACATTTCTTGCAAATCAACAAGGTGGGTCTTCAGCTGTGTAGAAGTTGTTGTCTTCCCTTTTCCATAAAAAACACATGCCTGTGTCACAGCCTGTGAGGGTGTGGCATGCATAGATAGTCACATAACTGAAGTTTTTCTGAAATAGCACATAATTTGTTTGTCTCTTGACTTGAACTGTGCCTCCTTGTTCCCTTTAAAAGTAGAGTTGGGCAATAAACTGAGTGAATTGATTAATTCAAATTTAAGGTTAAAAACTATGTAAGAAATAGCTGAATCATAAAATGGATATTTAAAATACAAATGTTATAATCCAGCAATAAACAGCTGAAGTCACTCATCTACACACGTGTAGAATTATTTTCCCACAGTATCTCTTCTGAAAAAAGGGGCCCCAGTGAAAAGACATTACAGATGCAGTGGAATATCACGTTGCCAAAAAATACAGTATAGTGTCTTTTGTTTGTTTTTAAGAAACAAAATCAATTTAAATCATAAATCAGGTTTGGTGTGACCAAATCACATGAGATTTTATTTTCAGGCCATATCACCCAGCCCTACTTTTAGGCTCTTATTGATAGGGAAAGGTCATATCTGTCAAACTATAGCCACACAGTTAAAGCCCTCCTTTCCTGTTAGGGCTGCAATCTTCCTCAAAAATGGTCTCAAGTCATACTCATGTCGTTAAAGGTCTGAAAGTCATGCAGACCCTGCAGAATAGCCACGCTATCAATGGCATGGCTAAATAATACAATCATTACTTTATCTGGGGAGAGCTATATTTAAGGATTTGAGCACAACTGACACAATTAAACACAAGACACTAAAAGCAGATGTTTTTGGGGGGACAATTGCATACGTCGAATTTGGCCACGTTTAAATTAGGTGCAAAGTTTCGGGAGCTGTCGAGCATGGGAAAGTGTTCAAAATGCGATCAAAGGCGCAGAATAATAATAATAATAATAATAATAATAATAATAATAATAATAATTGAGAATTCTTACAATTACAATAGGTCCTTGCACTTGTCAGTGCTCGGGCCCTCAATAATATCAGTGATATTAGTGACAAGAAGTCATGTTCTTGGTATTGGTTACAAAGGTCAGCTGTAACAAAATGTCTTCTCTTTCCTCCTTGTCCACTTTATTATTGCCTGATAGTAGAGCTCTACTACAAGAACTGATACAATGAAACGCTTACAGGCGAGTCGTTATCGGAAAATGTAAGCAGCGCTTGTTATTATTGCCGGGACGCCTCGATTCACCAAACGGGGTTCGCTGGTAATTCTTTTTATTTCTTTTAACTTTATTGAAAAACTGTTTTGGACAATACAAAACAAAAGATCTCAGAAGTGATGTTTCCAAAAAAGTCCACGTTTTCAGCTATATTTATTTTACAAAACAGAGGAAATACATAAAACAGCTTCATCTAAGTTAAATAAATTGATAACGTTAGTTTTGTCAAGTTTGCGTTACATGTTTTCAAATGTGAAAGCGTTTACAAATATATGTTTAGGTCTGTGTGTCTGAAACTAATATAAGATCGTATCTTAAAACATTTAATTGTATTAATGTACATTTTTGCTAAAATAGTGCTAACGTCAATTTATAAGTAAATGTAATGGAGATTGACTCCGCCTGTCCGGGATATTGTCGGCATACGCCGGTAAAGCTTACATGTAAACCCAAAAGTTAAAGTTGAAAGAACGCATTGCGCCGAGCCCCGCCATTGGCTAGCTCTAAACAACGTAATTTTTTCAATGAGCCGCCATATTAGGAAGCCAACCCCCTCTTTCATTCGTTGAAGATAGGGTTTGCTTCCAGGACAGTTTCCCGAAGTGCCGGTCTTTGCTGAGCGCTTGAAACCTCTCGTTACACCTGCACAGGCGGTATCCGGGCTCGGTTTGTTTACTGTCGTTCATACGGGTTATTTAACGACTCTTTCACAATGGCGACTGCAACCCCGACCAGCCAGAGAAGCACGTGCGGCAGCGGCACACCGCTGAGCCCGACCAGAATAACCCGACTGCAGGAGAAACAGCAGCTCCGGGACCTCAACGACCGCCTGGCCGTTTACATCGACAAAGTCCGCAGTTTGGAGTCTGAAAACGACGTGCTGCACTTGCAAATTAACGAGAAGGAAGAAGTGAGGAGCCGAGAGGTAACCGGACTGAAAGCCCTTTACGAGACCGAGCTAGCCGACGCCAGGAGGTGTTTGGATGACTCCTCCAAGGAGCGGGCCTGGCTGCAGATCGAACTGGGAAAGATCAGATCCGAGCATGAGCAGCTGCAGCAGAAGTAAGCCCCTAACACTTTAATCACGTTACAGTGTCTAATAGGGACAGGAGCTCGGGACGATTAGCTACATGCTAAATGTTGACTTTGATTTTCGAGCCACTTTCGCAGCACAGCGCACGTAGGTCCGTCCGGGGTTACGTTCTCTCATCTGGTGAGAGCGTCACTCAAACCCGGCCTATAAAAATCTTACTTCTGCATTTTACCCTCCCTTAGTTCGTTTACACAAGGTTACAATCAGCACACTTGTTAAGAATGGTTAAAAAATAATAAACGTTTTGAATGATTTAGAATGATTGACAGTGGCCGTTACCCGCCCACCATTGTCTGTGCTGCTGACAGAGAAATCAGCTCGGCTTGTAAAATGTCAACTTATACAACGTCTAATGCTGAATGAACGCTCGAGTAGGTTGAGTAAGCATAAACACCATTTATTTAGAGAAATGTGCCTGTGGTTTTATTAGACTAACTGACAGACAACGCGCAAGAGCGAGCGTTCCTGAAGGTGACATGGTGCCTTCAGGGTCTGCCGGTAGCATCTGCCGGTAGCATCTGTTCAGAACAGAAGGCTCAAACACCAGTGCAGAGTTGAACTGCTTTTGGTATTTCATGAGACAATTAGTTTTTGGACTATCCAGTTTTTTTTCTTTTTTTTTTTCTTGGATGCACAATATTATTTCGGCCCAGTAGTAGTAGTAGTAGTAGTAGTAATAATAATAATAATAATAATAATAATAATAATAATAATAATAATCAATTGTTACATGTGTTTCTCATTGTGATAGGATTACAATTTTGGATTCAATACAATAGGACGTTCGAACACTCTGTAGTTGTCACAGCATCTTAGGTAAAGAAATGCTGAGGGTGTAGTGGAGCGGAACATTGGATTGATTATCCATATTCCATAGCTTTGACCTACCAAATTTTGCCATCAAAAACACAAACAACAGACAAAACTAGTAATTAGGTCACATTCCAATAAAGCCTCACAAACGTACTTGTGCGCTATTTGCATAGGCTTTCATAGAACATAAAGCCTGTCTATTGTAGTGCATTAAAAACTCTAAATAAATTATTAGTGTTATGGACCATAATTTATCGGCTGTAATTTCATAATCGAAATAATGCATAATAATAAAGATTGCCCATTGTTGGCTAATATATCATTTAATATAATCTTTTTCCCCTGATGTATATTGTTCATCCCTAGTTTTTTGCTATGATTGGAGTGGTAAACAGAATTACTATGCACTGAGAGGTAAATATGCCTCAGACATGTAAATTACATAATTTTAATATCTGAACTGTATTTATTAAATTGTCATTTGTTTGCACAGCACCCGTGTAGTCATACTAGTGATAGACAGATTAATAGGCATTTTGAGATAATCAGCATCAGCCGCTGTCTGTACTCACAAGGCCTGTCTTTAGGCACATCTGCAGGCCCGATGTTAGCGCTCCCCCTTTTAGGGAAGGTGGTTTGTTTTGAGCTTTGTACTCTAACTCTGTATGCATCGTGCTGTAAACATTTGCCTGAATTTCCTGTCAAATAGAACAGAATTCTACATCTTTGTTTTATTATCGGTATTACATATCGGCCATCATCTGTCCTGCTCTCTAAATATCGGCCATTAAAACCCATATCGGTCGACCACTAATTCATACTCATGAAACATGAGTGTTTGTGTGTGTTCCCGTATATCCCACAGAACTTGACAGCAGCAGCTGTTGCTCACAGCTGTTGACCTGAAGCGTATGAATAAACAATGGAGCGTTTCCTCCTGAAGGTGGCGATTCAACAGCTTTTACAGAAATAAAATGAGCTGATCAAGCGTGCAGTTAATTGTTAAAATGTGTTTGAAGAATGTTAACGTTTTCCTTTAATAAACACCAAGCAGTGTGTGTTGAGGCACCCACAGCTGTTTGTATTTTTTTTCCTTTAGCTGCCTGTGAAGCCAAACTAGCTGAAAAAAACTTTGATTTCACTCGTGTGTAAAATCCCACAGAATGGTGTTACAAATGAGGCACAGCTCCACTGTTACTAAATAAATGCAGTTAAGGTCTCCATGGAGAGTGTACTGTTTCCCAGATAGTGTACACACACACACTGCACAGTGCTGCTGAGTGTGAGCAGTCAGGTGTTGAGCTGTTGTGTGTTGTTGAATAGAGGCAATGCTGTGTCAGGCAGTCTGACAGCAGAACACAGGTGGCAGTGACAGCCTGTTTGAGTCTGGGGCTCAACCAGTTGACACAACCTGTTAGTCCACTTTATCTCCATTTGTAACACGCCCTGTATCTACAGCTAGACGCTAACTGGATTGTGTAGTGTAAACTTTTCCATGCATTAAAGCTGCTATCTGTAACTTTATCTGTGAACTTAAAATCACAGTACTGTGACGCCGCATCCTATGTGGCAATGGTTTAGTCCATACAGCACAAAACAAAACAATCAATAACATGATGACATGGTTTTGTGATATTGTACTGATTCTCAAAGACAATTTATTTTTGTGTTTAAACCCCCAACAGCTACAACAGTGTTGTAAACATAAGCTAAGAGCTATGATGTTGGATGTTACAGTGACAGCGATAAATACAAATGATGATCACACTGTTCTAATTGCATAAAAGTACAGATTTTCTGCATATGATGGTGTGTTGCTTACAGTATTGCAATAAATCCCAATATTTTGAATGGTAACACAGAAAATGATGTTTGTTTTGAAGAGCACTACAGTCAGGGTGCTGTGGCTGTGTGGACTGTTGAGAGTGGAACTGTATGAACTCTACCCTTTTTGCTAACGGCCCTAACTTTATAACACAACAGTCAATAACCCACAATGAACTCTCTTTAACAGGCCACAACACCATGGCACAACAATTTGTGACACACAAACACTTTGTATCTATAACAGTTGTACATCTACAAAAGGACATTTTTGAATTGTAGCAGCAGCAGCAGCATTTCAGGTAGTGTTCATACAACTGTTTTAAAGTATTTTGCTTTGAAAAGGATGCAGTGTTAAAGTTGTTGACCTATGTCTTTTATTTTGAAGTTCCATTCTACATTGCACAATAGAGTTTATATCCTGCAACTTGTTCATGCATTCTGATTTCATCATATGTTGTATCATTTTGTGGGGCCAAGAGAAGCTGACAGTGATCACACTGGGCACCTAGTCCCAGAAATTCACAATTGCACAACCATGCGCCACAACAACTTGTGAAGCCTTTGGCGTGATGCAGAAGCTGTTGGTTTTCGTGCAGGGGACTAAGGGTACCAGGGGTCCCATTTTGTGTGGGACTGCACAGCATTTTTATCTCTTGTCCCATGACAAATTATTTTCTACGATCTAGTTTTTATCCAGTAGCTGTAAAGAAAGCAAAGAAGGCTGTAATCATGAGGCTGTGTTTGTTGTCATTCAAACTGGGCACACAAAGGTCAAATGCAGGTAAACCTGCCCTGACTTTGGTACCCTAGGGACAGGGAAAATTGTAATTTGATTGGACACAAAATCAACACAAAGTCACACACTATGCAGATTTAGACAGAATATGATGGAAAATACCTCAAAGAAAAGGAAATGCAACTACAACAAAGACTGGGAAAGTACTTACAACTGAGTGAACAGTATGTTTGGGGCTGCTGTGGTGCAGAGGCAGAGTGGGTCATCTTTGAGCAAAATACTGAACCCCACATTGCTGTGTGTGAATGTGTATGAATGAGTTAGTTTCTGTTCGATGGGCCATCACTGAGTGAATGTGTGTGAAAGGGTGAGGTGTGTAGTGTAAGATGCTGGTGGGGAAGACTAGAAAGGCTGCTATACAGTATACAGGTCCATTTACCATTTACCATATGTGGACTAGAGAAACACTGAATTTGCACATTGCATTTAATGTGGCTAAAAGGATCCCAGACTACCTGTGGAACTGGTTTGGGTGTTCATATCTACATATAATCTGACCTCAAACCTAAAATGCTGCAGATAACAGTCAGCTCATTCAGGCTGTGTTCATTTCAGGTGTAAAAGGGAACAATCTATGACGTAGTGGCATACACTGATTACATTTGGCAGTAGTCATAGTGACTACTTAATGTGCATATTTTGTCTTATTATTGATTTAAGTTGTTAGATGGTTTTTCAAAGTGCCATCAGTACAATCTTTCATCACTAGTAAAGACTAAAGCCTCCCTTTAACGGTTTTCTTAATTTGCCTCTGGGTTTATTAAAGTCTTTTAACTTTAATATCTACTTGGCATCAAAAAGTGATTTAAAACAACCTAGCAAGCTTACCAAGAAGAGCTGGTTTTCACTATACTGCTGTAATCTGCCACATATTTGAAGCTGTATTAGAACTTTAAAGAGTTATGTGTGGTATGTGTTGTGCACTGCTGTGATCTGGCTGAGAATATTCCTGTATAGCAAGAGCCTGTCGGGTCAGTGCTTTAGCCTCCCAGTTAATGTTTCTCAGTAAAATGTGAGAAAGCAGACATACCCTAGTACATTCCACTCATAGTTTGTCCACTTTAGCAGCTGTCCCACCCACCCATCGTAACCTCAGAGGCACACCATGAGAAAATAACTGGACTGAATCCCAGCAGAGCTCCTCCGACAGACTACTTTACTCACAAACTCATTGAAACAGTTCCACTGTTGACCCAGTTAACCCCGGCTCAGAGCTTGGAAACGGATGTCTGTGTTTTTGAAAGTGAAATATGTGGTTCTCATTTCCATTCGTCAGTATGTTTTTAATCAAAGCATTCAGGAATTTAGACAATCTAAACAGGAACAATTTGGAAAAATACAAAACCTAAGCAAAGCTCCTCTGTTTCTCCCCATTTGTCACTTCTGTTGTGGCCACCAGAGGACCCTGTTTGCTGTAAACTGTACTGAGCACAGCCCTCTGGCAGCAGGAACCACTCTAACCTTTTAAGGACAGAACTACCCTCAGTGATATACTATATAAGTGGTTCTCAGCCTTATTGCCGCCAAGTACCCCTAAATTGTTACATATCAGGCCACAGACCCGTATTTGATAAGATTAAGTCTCAGGGATCCTTGTCTGCTAAGATTTAGTTACTCTATCACTATATTTCTATACTTCTGTCTCTCTCATTTGGCTAACTCTTAACCAATTAAATAATAGTGAAATCTTTTCAAAATCACCATTTTTCTGTTGACCCCTTGGAACCCCCTCAAGGACCCCAGGTTGAGAACCACTGTACTATCCCACACCGTACGATGGAAGTGTATTGCATTCACTTGGAAAAACAAATAATTGCTGTTTTCAGAATTAATAAAATGCCTCCAATAGGCTCTCCATGCTCATGATCAGCTCTCAGCCCCTTGAGCCTAACCCAAATTCCATATCCAGCCTCGAGCGAGCTCCAGTAGGCCCTCAGCTCTCTAAGCCTGACCCAAGGCCCCTTGGACAGGGTTCCCACACGTCCTGGAAAACCTTGAAATTAAGAGACTAATTCTCAGTCATAGAGCCATCTGGAATTTGAGTAAAATGACCAAAAATCCTGGAAATAAATTATGTTGTCTTGGAAAATTGTAATTGTATTTAGCTCCTCATTCACATCCCTGAGTTGAACTGTGACCTATGGGTTATGACCATAATGTTATGGCAAGAGGAAAACTGTAGTGAAAGTCCATTCTCCAGAGAGCACAGTGGAGAAATCGGTTGTGATGAGAACAGCCGGCGGCCCATGCAGGGCTCTGCG